GTAATTGAATTCGATCTAATATCACGGTACTGTAGTTCGAAACGAATTACAATTAATGAATTTCTTGAACACTGTATACAGGTATACTATACTCTACTAGCTGAAACTCGTCCGAACCGAATGATGCACGGAATCACGAGTAACGTTCGTCGGATGCGCGCATAACACAACATCGCACAAATAGTTTCACCCCATATGGAATTTCGTCAAGCCCATAGAATACGGGTAATCGTGCGGATACTCAAGACAAACGGATTCGAATTTCCTTCGTTCACTCGTGGAGAAAACAAATCCAAACTGACTGCATCACTGATATGAACGATGAGATGACACTCATATATGATCGATTAACCCAACCATAGGATGAGGAACGCGCGGTCTCTGATCCGTATTCATCAATTCAATTCGCAGATCCACGAAATTCGAAGATATTGAAAGTAGAAGTTCAGCACGCACTACACAATATCTTCCATCGTACGTTCGTGTACCACAGTAATATGGTTGCCTTCCATCACTCATCGAATGACTCAAGGCGTGATATCATGGAACATTCTAGTGGATCGTAAAAACGCAACATTCGAGTATGCTTCAGCTGCAGGCATCCCTCCCACCACTCGTTGAAAGCTGATGAGCCTTCCCTTGCGTCTACAAGATGGCCGCGCTGTGGGCAGCACAGATGACCATCCTTGGATTGCACTACAGTAGTCTGTAGAAAACTCTATATTCTTTAAAATTACTGTAGCATGTGTCGATCGGACAGCATTATCGCGCGGAAGTGCGGCATTTCTAGAGACAACCGCGATACCGAAGTGAGGGAACCATTACGAAACGATGGATGATCAATGATCAGAGGTGTGTATGTCTCGTTTACAGCATCTAATACTGTACTGTACACTGTATGTCAAAGTGATGGCACTAGATTCAATGTGTGAGCCTCAAATAACCCCGCAAAAGCGCTTGAAAACTGTCGGAATGCCCTGCATTGAATTTGATCGTTTGGAAAACAATAAATAAAGAAACACAAAGCATCGCAAACTGCAATCTTGCCTTTCGTAGGTTCTTGAAATATTGCTGCCGTCGTCTTATTCTGGTCCAGAGAATTGGAACCAATAAATTGCGAAATATTGAAGACTTATGTGAGCCTCTTTCGTTGATACGTTGGACTACGTTAGAGATTAGACCCTGACTGTGATATGCAATTGCGGCAGAGTACGTATATCACTGGTTTCTATAAATATTTTAATCAATTTTTTCACCCTTTGAATAATCATCATTGAGATTGAACAATTGAAATTCAATTCGAATGGGAATGAAACTTGCGTCGGGGCCGAAAGAGAAATGCGCAGTAGAATTCTCAGCGAATGATGATGAAGTACAGCAAGAATTTTACATGTTTGAGGGTTACCGATTTTGATAACGCAACGGAAAAAGAGAAGTTATTTACCACCTATATGCATTAGAAAACTTCACTAATGACAAAGTACGACTAGGTGCAAAATAAAAAAACGCTAGGTACTTAACTCCTTTACAAAAACGCGTCGTGAAGGCTCGCATTTGACTGCCGAAGAGTTCCATGAATTTTCGAAAGAATCAAAGATAACCAATAAAAAAAAAACATCGGTTGTTTCTGTGGAATACAAAGTTGCTTCCGACAGCAGAAATTCACTGTCAACAGCGAACTAAATATACGCAGCAGCTGAAGATTCTCAAATTCCGCGTTATTATAGCTGAGCTCTGAAGTTCTTGGAAATTGTCTTTTCCTTGGAACAGATCATAATTCAGTTAAATTGAAGAATTTTAAAATTTATAAGCTTTGAATTTTGAAGCCTAACTTACAAAAAAACCTGGTTCATGAAAGTGTGATGTAATAAAAAAAAGTTTCGATCATTGCCCAATAACTTTTTTCTCTTTCGAAAATGAAGAACATCAGAGGAGCGCTTTTTATTCGATGGCTTCAAATATTCTAGTGCTGAATATCTCAGAAATGAGTTTTAATTCTGGCCTTCTGCCTAAAATCTTCCCTCGGACTTCGTTTTTTACCTCGAAAATTTATATTCAGTGACCCAATCTTGAGTTATCTTTGACACTCATCTGAAAATGTCTAGGTCATAAACAATTTCCGAAACTCAAAGTACCATAATTTCAAACACAGATGTCCGAGGTTGAACTCATTTCCCAATATTCACTTCGCGACAATCGACACAAGAAAAACAATTATATGACGAAGAAGCCTCAATTCGAAGAAAACTGAATCACAAATTCAAGATGGAATGTGACTGCTGTCTGACTCAGTGAAATTTATTTTTTATTTTTTTGTCTTGTTTCCATAAATTCAGCATGAATTGAGGACATTCGAAAAAATCCGTTCCTCATTCGTTATATTCCCACTATACGGACATCGACAGAAGTTCGCGGCGTCGGAAGAAAACTGGCGAAGTCACCGTGATTTCAAAGCCAGATCACGACTCGATTTTCTATCTATCTCTCTCTCTATGTATATTTTTTTGCCTCGATATATTTTTTTTTCTTCTCTTTCTTCTTGAAGGAAAGCTTCTTCGTCCCATCAGGGGGGAAAGAAGAGAAATTCGAGGGTGAATGAAAGCAACGTCGGGGAGACACACAAGGCCGAGTGAAACAAACGCGATGCTCATCATGGATGGCAATTCGCTCTGCAGCGGTCGACACAGACGTCGACGATGTCGATGTTCGTCAGACAGGGATCACGCTTCACCCCACCGACTGATTCGTCGTCGTCCCCCCCTCTGCAAAAGACGACACTGTTGGTATAAATTATCGCGTGTCCTTCCTTGCCGCTGCTTTTTTGTGTCTTCATTTCGTTTGGAGGGAATCCATTGAAAAAATGAACCTGGTTCGCCAAAAAAACAAAAAAACCTGAAAAACCGAGGCCAGGATTTTTTTTTCTTTCTTGAAGAATGACGTTGGGATTTGTGTTGGAAAGAAGGGCATGACTATCATAAGAATTTTCCTTGACCTGGCTTTTTATATCCAAAACGTCTCTGTGGACTCCATTTCCCTTGAATTTTATGTTTGAAAAACTGCTGTTCAATTGTCTTCAGAGACAGCTCAGGCTCTGTGATTTGAACATTCTTGCTCTGTGACAATATACAGTAGGATCTTTGCTTACACAACTCATATTAAAGTGAAATGTTTGGCAACTGGATTGTTTGATATCTGAATTATACTTTTCCGGACAAATTCGAATGCAGTCGAAACTCTTCAAGTCAAACTCTGAGGCGGACCAAAAACGTTTTGAATTTTTACTCCCTTTTTCAGAGATTGAACTTCTGTTCTGTTCTGTGTATAAAATTGAAAAAAGAAAATTTATTGGAATGCCGGTATACAATGCATTGTTATTCACTACATATTCTAGGGGGAAAGGTGACTCTTGCAAACAAATTTCCTCAGAGATTGGCACAATTTAGAAGTGTTAGGCTAGGAATTTGATTTTTGGGGGGGATTTGTCAATTGTTTGTTTGCTTCACTATCTTGCTTTAGCTAATTCCCAGAAAGTTTTTTAGACATTGGTTCATGAGTGTCATTAATTTATTGCAAAGCTTCTTGGCATCAAAATCATGGTTTGGGATCAACAGCCCTCCTTGATATTTTAATGATGCAAGCATTCAAACTTTTTTCAGAATCAGATGTTTTGTCCATCTGAGCCAAGCTCTGGGTGGGTATGCACACATGCCTTCTTCTTTTTTGAACAGCAATGTTTGTTTCAAATACTTGTTGCAGAATTGAGTCCCTTGGTCAATTGCTGAAGTAGCTTAATGAAGTCACTCTTGCATCTTGAGCTAGTGCACCTGGTCATGCAGCTTTGAGATAAAAATCTCCTAGTGCAAGTTTCCCAGTAAATTGGAGAACCATATCAACAAGGAAGAATTAGTATGATAAAAAAGAGTGCAGCTCAAAGATCCATGCATCAGATCAATTCTACATGTGATTACAAAAGAATTATGGAATTAATAGTTCAAGTTAAGACCTTGTAGAAGTCTGTATCTTTTTTTAAAAAAGGAAATAAGAGTGTTATTGTTATATACTGCAATGCAAGCACTTGTATCAAGTGTTGTTCATTTGGCATTCCAAATATGTTTTGATGTCTTTCAGTAGACAAGTTTCAACATGAACTTGGAGGACTTTTGTATCACAGTCAACCCCTGCACAATGGACTTAATTTGTGCAACAGACTGGTCTGTCATGTGAAAAGGTTGTCATGCAAATTCAATTATCCAGAACTAAGATTTGTGCTTTTTACCATTAATTTTAAACCAACAGAAGTCTGTTATGCGGAGGGAAAAGTGCCTCCAGAGATGGCCTGTTGTGCAAAAATCCATTGCGCAGGAGGTCTGTGGTGTGGGGGTTGACTGTTTTGCATGAATGAATGAATGAATGAATGAACAGAACACTTTATTTTCCGCTTTTCAGCATTCACAAGGCACAACCAAGACTCCTGCATCCAAACCCCCTCCCCACCCAATTTTTGCATTGTGTGTCTGATTAATTTTTCCTGAAACTTGCTGTGAACATAATGAGTCTTGTGTGAACATCCAAGCAGGGCAGCAGGTGCTGTGGATTTTTCCTTCTAATGTCAACAAAATGTTAACTCTCATTTTAAAAATTAAAACCATCATGATGCTGATGCCTTACTGTCTTTTGGGATTCTTAGAGTCTGAATGTATATTTTGGACATTTAAATTTGAAATATATTCTGTCAGCATCAACCCAAGCAGCAAAAATAGCCAATTGAAGATGGATTTTCAGGAATGGAAAGTTTGTTCAAAGCAGTGACTGGATGATGGAGGTGCATGTTTTCCTTGCAATCAGGCTTTAAAAGGAGCCATTTTCTCAGCAGAAAGCTTGACTCATAGGTGTGACATTACAGCATCCTTCAACAAATTCTGAGAGAAACCTTACTTGGAATCACTGTACTCTTGACCATCATGCTTTGTGATCCAGAAAAACTGAGTAAGGTCACAAGACGTGACACGATTCGAGAATGAAATCATGTGGACACGAGATCCACGTTATTGTGAAGGAAGAAGGAAAATCGCGAGACTGAGTCAAGATCAAATCTGCGTCTCTCCAAGTCAACTTTTCTGCTTAACCCTCCCTATACAGATAATTCCTGTCCACCCATTTAATCCCAGGCTCCATTTCATCTTCAGGAAGCAGAAAGAAATTAGCAGACTGACCAAATCCGCATCTTTTTTTTCTTTTCTTCTTCTCATTCTCTCGTCTTTTTCTCACGATTCGCTTGTTTTTTCGCTTAATGTAAAGACAAATCGCGACGGCGAAACAAAATATAATTTTTGCTGTCGGGCGGAAGAAAAGTTCGAGGTCATGACGAATGAGCGAGTTGAAGATGCGAATAATGGCGGGAAGAAGCTGAGTTTGTTCAAGTCTTGGCAGACCTGGTTTCATGATTCCAGCAGCAGCAGCTCCAATGAGGCTTCGGGTAAGGATAAAATGAATAAAAAACATTTCGTTTTTCTTTCTTTTTTTCACCCGCTTTATATTTGCAAACTGAGCCAATTCCGTTATTGAGAATATTTCGGGACTCGAAGCGGGAAGGAAAAAGTTTCGCAAAGCGGAAGAATCCCGGTCACATAAATATAGATTAGAATATGTTTGCTTTATATTTTTTATGAGGAAGAAGAAGAAGACGGGGACATGATATCGTTTTTGTCATTTTTTGCACATGGCGGTCAGGGTTTTTTTTCGACTGCTGTTTCTGATTTTTTTGTCTAGTTTGGTTTGAAGTTCCGATATCAACACTTCCAACCACTGCTGTACACCATATACTGTATTCTGTAAACGTACATATTACCGTATTCACTTTAGTAGCACATGCACCTTTTTCCCAAAATTGAGCCTGCATAATAGGGTGCATGGGGTACTTGGGGACTAATTTTTAAGGATAAATCCTTAAAACCAGAGAAGTATAATTACTGCATTTACTCAAGTACCATGTGCACCTTTTTTCTCAAATTTCAAAAGGAAAAAGGGGTGCATGTCATAAACCGATGCAAATATTTCACAAAGTTTTTGGAAGTTATGTGTGCATTGTGCTTAATTATAATGGAGAAATTTGGAAAAAATGTAAAAAAGACAACTTTTTATGGGAAAAGTTGAGAATTCACCAGATTTTTTTTCAATTCATGCCTTGAGTCTAAACTTTTTTTTCAAAATTTTGTGGTTTTAGATGCACTGAAATTCAAGTTGGGGTGCGCATCTTACTCAGGGGTACTTTTTTAGAAAAATTTCAAACTGAAAAACCCCAGTGCGCACCTTACTCCGGGATGCATTGTACTCAAGTAAATACAGTAACAAAAAAAAAGGATAATAGTGGAGCAGAAATGTGTGGTGCCAACTCTCCTTGTCCATGAGAAATAAAGGTACAAGCAATCATAACAATTTGATGAATCAGTTGGAGATGCATCAGGAGGAAAAGGATGAGGAAGAAATCACCTAAATGAGGAAGTTGCCATAAATTATTGCTACCACATTTTAACTTTTCCAACAGACATCAGTAAAAAGCAGTAAAAATGAAATATCCATTTTGGAAAATGGATTCACCCCACAAAATACAGTATTTAAGGATACTTGATTTTCAGCAACAAAAAGAACTGCTGGGGTGCAGGTCTCATGCAGGGATTGGTTTTTTATTTAATTTCTTTTTTTTTAATGAGGGTTTATGTCTTACTTGAGAGTGAATACAGTTGACCAGCTCATAACAGACCTCCTGCACCATGGATTTTTGCACAACAGACAGTCATTGGAGGCAGTTTTCCCTCCTGAAAAAATTCTAATTTTTAAAATTAAATTTGCACAACAGACTTGCACAAATTAAGTTCAATATGTGAGGGTTAAGTGTTAAGTGATGTATAAGGTAATTTCTAGAACTAATGGATACTGTTGGGTAACCAGAACTTGGGTCCTAGCCCAGGGACATCAGGTCCCAGGACCTGATTTCTGGTCCCATTTTCCTTCGTGCATCTGTTCCCTGGATGTCCAACTTCTTCAATGCACATTTCTCCCATCAATCACAGACAGGGGAGAAAATTGAGTGCCTGGGTCAGGTTAGCTGACCAAGGCATACAACAAAAACATATAAATACCCAAAATTCCCCTGCCCTATCAATCAGTCCATTTAAATTATTCCTAGCATAAGCTTCCTATGAATCTCTTGCCAAAACCAATAATTCCCTTATTTGTACCAAAACTTTGTGATAGTCATTCATTAATTTTTGTTCAGAAACTTGTACTTGTATTTATTGGAAGTGTTTTGTGCTCATTTATTGTGATGCTTTACTGTTATTGTGCTTTTTTGTGGGCTGTGATTGTGGTTGATTTTTAATAAACCAGACAAAACTAGGGATATGTAATGAAGGTGCCCCATTGATTACATGTGAAGATTCTTTTGAGTAGATTTTGTTTTCACTGAGTTTCCAGTCTCACAAATGCTGAAGACATGCTGTCCATAACAGTAGAAGCCAAGTGTAAATTAAACGCAGTCCAAGACGCAATTCAATTTTTTAATGCTCTTTTGACACTCATGGTGACAGGCTTGCTTTTGGCAAAGAAATGATGAAGATTTGGGGTTTGCATTCCCCTTTTATGGCTTTTCCCCAAGACTAATGGAGCATTCTAACAAGCTTGCTTGTTAACAAGCTCACTTTTTGTACAGAAGGGAGCTAATTAGTTTTTCAACAGTTACGCTACATTGCAGGTGCAACCGCGCATTATTCACAATTTTTGCTCTTGCAAAAATGTACAAATATTTCCACAATTACATATTCCAAGCCACAAACTGGTTGATTGTCCTGTGTGATTATGTATCTCTATTTTCCTCTGCACTGCAATGTTCTTTGTTGGGGACCCTACTTGTGTCCTCACCAGATACAGCAGATCAAGAAAATACCCATTTTTTCAAAACATTTAAATATCAATACTTTTTGAACTCCTGAGAAGCAGGTTCAACGAACGTGTGCATATTTTTAAGCATATTGGCACATCGCGACTACACAAATCTTTTCAAGAAAAAAAGGCGAAAGAAAACAGTCAAATGCAAATCCCAGGTTAGGTGACTCGGATTGCTGTTGCACCTTGTCCACACAGACTCCGAGGTCTCATCATCGCAACCCAGCAGCCAAGAACCCTCGCAAGCATCAGCTCTCAACAACGTTGATTTGTCTCTGATGACGAGAAAACGAGACCCAGGTTCCTCTTCGGAACCCGTTGAGAAAAGGCCTCGTTTAACTCCGATGGGCTCGGGGTACTTCGAACCAGAAATGTTGAAGGCATCAGTAGCGGCCCAAGCTTTGAATGACTGCGTCTCATCGTCGCGACCCCAACGGATCCATACCCTCAACTTTCGTTACCCACACTGCAGAACCCCTTTGAAACCATGTCCCAAGAGTCCTTGGGCAGCTTCGCATGAGCAAGAGATAGCTGGAAGAAGGTGCACATCAGAATAAAGAGGAAGTCTCGAGAAAAACGACTAAAAAGAGCAAGCACATACGAATAGGGCGAAGTTTAAAAATGTTTGGTTACTTATGTTTAGTTAGTTCTGACTAGTATATAGTCCAGATGAGGTGAATTTGGTTTACAGTATTTCAATTTATTTAATGCTTGCTTTAGATAGGTTACATTCATTCAGACTGAGTTATGCCAGTTTAACCCAAATTATACAGTTGAAGTTTCATACTTGGAAAAAGTTTAGAGTTTTGGAGTTGGGAGAATATGACAGTATTTGTGCAGCAGTTATATCAGCAAGGTGAACATTTTGTGGACCAATCGATGGTGTCCATAATAATTGATGGAGGTGCATGAAGGTTCTCAGTCCCTTTTCAACCCTTGGGCAGCAAAGTTGGACTATTTTCGCAAAATTTTGTTGCACCTCAGAGAGGTGTTGAAAAAAATGTCAACAGGGGTTAAGGGCAAAGTTGGGAAAAATCCTGATATTTTTTTCTCTTGGCACAGACAGTTTTTGGGGGGAAATTAAAAAAAAAATGCAGTTAGGCTACCAGCTTTTTTTTATTTTTCTCAACTTTGCCTCAGCCCATCTGGAAGGGTTTTCCTGACCTTGGAAAATATGAAAATGTGGCAAGATACAAAAATAATCCAACTCCGTCCCACTATGGGAAAGAACCCTCCACTGTCCAAGGGTTAAAGCAGCAATAAGAAAATACCATAGGTTTCATCGTTGTTTTCTGTAATGTGTGCTCTATTTACCAACAATATATCCTCAGTAAAATAAGAAAAAGGCGTCAGGAAATTAAACCAAGGGAAGTGGAGCTTTAAGTTACTTGCAAGTTATTTTATAAATTAGTTGGTGAGGTTAGAAAAATGAGGTGTTTCTAGACAGAAGGTCCAAATTAATTCATACTCAGGTTACATTATTCACATATTAGATTCGATATTTCAGGAAATTAAGCTAATTTAATTTAAGTTGACTCAGTTCAATTTGTGTTCTTTTGAATAAGTTAAAGTTATTATTATTCAATGTATTGTATAGTTTTGAATTTGAATTTGCTGTTTTAACTCAAGTCAGCTTAGTTAAACTTGCATCAGGTTAGTTTGGCGGAGTTGAATTCGAGTTAGCTTAGTTTCACTTGAGCAAGCTCAGTTTAATTTGGCATTATGGTCCCTTGCTTAACTTAATTTGAGTTGAGTTAGATATGTTTACCTTCATTGAGTTCAGGGAGTTAAGTTGCTTTATGACTAATGAGTGACTTCATTTTACTGATGAAAGAGTTCAGCTTACCAAATGCGTGAGTTTGTTTAACTTGAGTGCTGTAGTTTGGTTTAACACAGGTTATCTAAGTTTTGTTTGAATCAGTGAAATTTTGCTGAAATTAGTCAAGTTTTCCTGAAATTATTTTGGTTTTTTGGAAATGGTCATTTTTGGCTGAAAATATAGGTAGTTTTTTCCAGAAAATAGTTGATTTTTCAAGACAGAACATAATTAGTTTTGCTGAAATTTGCTATTTTCTGGAATTGGCTTCTTTTTTAAGGTGCCTTTTTCAAAACTTGCAAATCTTTCCAGTAATCAGCTTCTTTATGCTTTAATTGCCCCTTATTTGTGCTGCTGAAGTTGGCTTATTTTTGCCAAAAATTGCCTGAGTTTTGATTAGGCTAGTTCAGTTGCAAAGGTTAAGTTAATTGCCCATATTGTCATGGGTCCTTTGAATTCCGGACAAAGGAATTGAATTGGACTGCAATCAAAGTGCAAGTTTTGAATAGAAACTCAAACTCTTTTCAGAGGAGTTCATTCTCATTGCCCAGATTGTCATTTGGCTGTTAATGAAATGGTTGGAATGGCAGAGTCAATAGTAAGATTGGTTGGTTATATAGCTCAGAAGATTGAATAAGATAATTCAAGTCAAAAGGCCCTCTAATACAAGATTCTCACTTCTCCTTTCAAAGAGGAATGAAGGCTTTTATACTCAGGTGCCCAGACTGCTGGGTCACCTGGGTATGGGAAGAAATAAGGTGATTTATTCCTGGCTCAGGATTGGCAGATTCAGGGAGAATTGAGGAAGTGATGACCACTTCTTGGTCTTGGGTGAGACTCAGTGAGTCTTGCCAAAACAGGATTTTGGCAAGGCTCACTGGCCTCAAGATGCAACAACTTTTCTTGGTCAGTTGCGACTGATGGATGCAGCAGCTGCTCCACTATAGGACATGACACATATGTCCATGATGTTTATATAGCTTATAAGGCATAATTTTACAACACAACTTCAGTATTTTTCCTCTACTGGTTAGAATAGTTCCACTCACATCATATATGATATTATACACTCCTAGAATCACGCTCTTTCCTGTGCCTGCTCTTTTTATGTTTTCTTTTTCGATTCTCGCTCCCCCCTTTTTTTTTAATAAACCCATGCACCAACGACATGCAGCAGAACCGTGATCCCGCCGCCATTTCCTTTTTCCATCCCTGGCCGGGAGAAGCAAACCCAGATTGAGTACAAGCTCAAGACCGGGAACAAGACGTGTCAAACTGTGGCCAGTGTCGGGAACGCCGTGGCCTCGGACACCAGTGACCTTTTGCCCGTGCCACCAACCAGCAGCAGCAGCAGCAGGCAAATGATGGGAGGGGTTTGTCGACACGGGAGACCGTATTCGGGGGTGCTAATGACTGACAAGGGCACGCAAACGAGTCCCATGGCAGCATCTGTTACCTTGCAAAGAAAGAGCGCCAGTTGTTTGAATGTGGCTCCTGCGCTTGCTTTCTACTTTCAGGATGCTGAATAATGCTCGTTTTATTTTGTTTTTGTTTGTTGTACAGTACAGTAGTTGAAAAATTTGAAATGGTGCGCTTTCCTTTTTTAAGTAACGCTCTTTGCTGTCATGAAGGAATACTGTTATTATACAGTAAAATCTCGTTACAACAAATACCGTCACTACAAATGTTTCAGTATAACATACTTTTTTTCAAGTCCCGGCAGAAATCCTATAGGGTACATGTTATAAAAATCTCATTACAACAAACTGCCAATTCCAGTACAACATTCTATGATTTCTTAATGAATAATCCATCATAGAGGCAGGCACAGTCTCACATTTCCCATTTTGAATGTGACTGGTTCTTTGGAACATAAGGAGGAATCAAGCACAAAAATTATTCAAAGTTCACCTGAAAATCCTATCTTTCAAAGAGTATTCTCATGTTAGGACTGATGATGGTGGGAGGGAGGGGGGGGGGTGGATCAAGTATTTACCAGGGTTCTAACAAACGTTCTTGGAGTAGCAATGAAACTGGCTTACAATTAAGCTGAAAAAATTTATTCTTTAGGGAAAACATATTCTTTGGCACACACAAAAATATCAGCCCTGATTGACAATTTTTTTTTGAATTTTTTTCATAATTCATCCTGGCAGAGTTTTGCTCTCCACTCAAAAGATGAGGTGCCCTTTTTTTTGTTGTAGCCCAGCTTTCCCCTCAGAATTTTTGAAATCCACTTGGCATTCTTTCTAAGGGTTGCCTCCAGATCTTCCAACGCAATTCCGCCATTTTCATCAACAGCCACCTTCACAGCCACCACATTGGCTGCCACTTTTGTTAGAACCCTTGTTTATATGAGTCACTCCAGAAAACCCAAAAGCTTCAATTATAGAAAATAATGTATTTATGGCAATGAGAATATATCGCAATACAGTAAACTGCGTGCTGACGCCACAAAAATTCCAAATTCTTAAATTTGCACGAATTATGAACCCCAAAAAATTTTGAGAATTTGGCAGAATGCGGATTTTTACTGCAGAAAACCTTCCACATTTTATTCTATGTTTGGCATTTGCGGAACGCATGATGAGCCATTATTATATAGGGACTGTGATGAAGACTTGGCTGAATACTTGAGAAATAAAATCACTCCTTTGAGGAACTGAAAATTTTTCGGTCTCCATAATAGTTATTTTTTCGCAAATATGGAAACATGAAAATTCTGGAAGGCGTTTTTTTTGGTGAGCTTGGTTTTTTCCTCGTCTCTGGTTTCATCTCTTTGCAGGTAATCGTGTGAACAAAAAGGGATTCTTCTTCTGGGTGTCGTCTTACTTGAGGAAATTGAATAAGAAACTTCCTGAAGATGTCAATGGGAAGAAGGAATTTGTAGTGCAACAGTTCCAGGGTGCTGAGAATAATAAGCTCAGACAAAAGCGGACTTGGAGGGAAAGTGCTGGGAATGATGATGAACTCCTGGGTTGGTTGATTTTTTAGTATCATTTTCGCATGTTCATTTAAAAAATTAAAAGAAAACCTTAGTAAGGCATGTATAATATTTTTCGCCTTGGATAAGCAGACCAAATTCAAGAGTTAAAACAACCTTTTGATTAAGGTATGCTGAATACCTATGCAATTTTTCTGCATAATGCTTTCAAAAATATCTGTTTCACATAGTCAAATATGTTGAGTGATTAACTTTTTCATGTTCACTCAAGTACTCACAGAATTTGTGCTCATTTTAATTGGAAGAGCTTAAAATTCAGATTTTAAGGCTTTGACATCTCTTAGTTAGATGACCTTCATAGTATATTGAAATTGAATACATTTTAGAACACCTTTTGAAAAAAAATTGTCATCTTAATTTTTTCCATCAATAATTCACGCTTTCAACATATGATCAAGGGGCTAATTTGCCTTAGATTGACCTACAGTCCTACAAAAATCATGCCATTTTCTGTAATCAAGAAAGAGTTCCTTAGAATATGAATTCATATGAATATGAATTTCTAGGGACCAGGAAAATTTTGACTCAAGAAGGTTTTAGCTTTTAAAAAATTTCAATTTTTGGTGGTTTTGAATTGAGGAAAGACAGTTTTGCTGCAAGGTCTTGTAAAAATTGTGGAAAATGTAAATGAGGATATCCAGGCCTAAACTGGCTTCTTGATGAGTTTACAGCTTATTGCTGAACTTGGAGGCAGGGCTGAATTTGCTTAATTACTCTTTCACTTCCTTTCAAGATGCAACAGTTAATTTGTTTCATTGATTTTCTCTTCCATATTTCAAAGAAATAGTAACCAAAAGGCCTCAGAAAATTCAACTTGAAGAGGTTTGAGAGAAAAAAAGACTTCAAGTTAGAGAGGTTTTTAATGCATTGTTTTGAAGGGAATTCAGACAGGAACTTGAAAAATTAAAGTTGGGAGGTACAATATTTTACTTCAGGAGGTTTGACTCATTAAGGTTCAAATGTATTAGTATTAGTCAAGTACCATGTGCACCTTTTTCTCAAAATTAAAAGAAAAAAAATGAGTCATGTCATGTGTCATAGACAAAGGTATACACTAAACAACGTTTTGAAATTCAGGTGTGCATGATACTTGATTCTTATAGAAAACTTTGGACCAATTTCATGCACAAAGAAACAATTTTATGGAGAAAATTGAAAATTTTGTGAATTAAGATTCAACCGTGTCTGAACTCTGAAGTCAAATTTGGGCTTTCTTATTTTTGAAATATTGCAGTTTTTGAGTCACTAATAAAATGTGGTGTGCATCTTACTCCAGGGTGCATGGTACTTGAGTAAATATGGCCCACCATTGCATGAAATTGTCACAATTATATTCTGACGCATTGTTTATGAATCTTTAATTTTTTTTTTCAGATCAAAGGATGAATAACATTGGCCAGGGTGATCATGAGGCCAGAGAACAGAGGCCCGTAAATTACCCAGACCATCATCCACAGCATCAAAATCAACAACAGCGACATCATATTATTCATCAGCATGATGAAGACGCCCTGCTGCAGCAGAAGCCACGCAGGGTGCCATTTCATCTGCCTTCGTGTCCGGGTCGTAGATGTCGCCTCTGTCTCGCCGGCACCATTGCCTCCGTGTCGCACGTCAAGCACGTGCCTGGCATCACGGACACTGAGCACTGGGCCAAAGGTCGGGTCAAATTTGCCCCAGTGGCCATTGGTTCTGATAGTCAAGCGGCTTTGGATGCCCAAGAGTGGATGGATCGTGGGTCCGAGACCCTTGTGAGGAGGTCGTCGGATCGGGTTGCTTGCTACTCACCCAGGAAGCGAAGGAAGCTGATGGAACCCTTTGCTGAGAATGTAAGGGGTGACTATTGGTCTAAGTATGATACCGTGGGTTCCCTGCTTTGCGAATGAGTGGCCTGTGTGTGACCACAATTTTTCATGCCAACATTGTTTTTCAGGCGTTAAAACTTAACTCAAATTTTAAAAAATTTAGTTTTGCAAAAATTGTGCCATGCAGTTTGCAGGTGAAACTTCAGAACTTTAAAATCGGAACAAAATTAAAACATTGAACTTGTGGAAGAATATGTGGGCTTGTATACAATTTTAATTTTTCCATTCTAGGAACATTTTCAACCTTGGAAATTCAAAAAAGGGAAATCTGGTCAGTCAGAATTCAAATCTGATTATAGTATTCATAAGAGTGACCCATGTACATGCATGATTATTATGTAGTGAGACCCCCACATGTGGACACCTCAACATGAGGACAATTTTACATAGGGAAATTTATTTTTTAATAAAAAGGACGTAAAAGTGCCCGACATATGGACACTGACTTGACATGAGGACATTGCATGATAAAATTGCCAATACATTTTACAAAAAATTGACTTTTATTCAGCTTGATTGCAAGAAACAGATATTTCCAACCCTGAGATCTATGCAAGAAATTGTTTTTGTCATTTCTCCCATCATTTTCCCATCCATTCAGCTAATTAAAAAAACTTACCTATTGCATAGAGGGATGACTTCCTTCTCTCTTTGTGACGAATGTTATTTTTGTAGATGCCAACATTTCAATGTACAGTACAGAGATACGCTATTCACTGTTCCAAATGTTCTTATTGAGTTGAAAAAATATTCACTGAATCAAATTCAAGCGGCAAATAATTTTTTTTCATGGAATTCTGAAGAATATTTCTGTATATCACTGTATAATAATATTATAGCTTGTATTGATTTTTCTTCATTAATGGGCAACTGTTCACAATCAAATCACTGGCATCAGTATCCAAAATACGATGAAAAGAATTACTTAACAATTTATACCGAAAAAAATTTATTTACCTGCTTTGAGCTTACTGAAATTCAGTTTCATTAATTTTCTGAACCATCTGGGAATATTCATGGTGATGAAAATAGAGAGCAATAACAGGATGATGGTTATTTCCTGTAAACGTGATGCATGCTTAATACTGCACATCCTTTTTGAAGAGCCGCTTTTATTTTCATGATACTATGGTCGAGAAATTTAAAAAAAAGATCCATTACTTCTGATTCGTTCCGAACTCACAAACAAATATTGCTTGAAGGAAAATGTGGGAATGGAAGACGAAACCCCGCAGATGATTCCGGAAAACGCTTCAAGGTCCACTGCTGTGCACCACGATCTCATCACCCACCACCACCAGCACCACCAACAACAACAACCAGAGGAAGATGCTCTTGCATCAGGCATGACATTGAGGAATATTTACGGACCCCACTCGTCGGGTTTCGGGATCCCATCCCCATTTACGACGCATAATAGGCTGACGGGGTTCGAGCGTCGTCACGCGCAAATCGGAGAACTCATGGGTTTGTCGGCCAATTACATTTTCAACAACAATCAGGACTTGAATGAAGTTCTCCAGACGAGGGACCGGATGGAAGCTGGAGAATTTCTAGTTGATCTTGTTGGACAAACTCAAGACAGATTTCAGGTGTGTTTTTCTTTTTATTTTTTATTTCAGGAAGATCTGTGATTCATGTGAAACCTTGCCAGAAATGCGGACATAATTGGTGCTTGAATGGACCTAGTCTCTACATCAGAATGTCTGCATGTTGGATCTCATTTTCCCATAGACTTCAATGGGAATATATTCAATTGGCGCACCTGTTCATAAAAAATTAGGAAAACAGTCCCCAGCAAATTTCATAGCATTCTTTTATAAACTTCAAAATAAAGAAAGTTAAGGTACAGACTAAGGAAACCATACATGATCTGATCTTTTTATACCAGAAGGAGCTCAAGAACAAGAACCAGTTGTCGCGAATTTTCGGAGGCACTTCTGCAGAACCAAGCATATCGAATTTAATCACCAGCTTTGAGCTGACGGAAAGTAATTTTTCATGTCACTCCTCTCAATGTTCAAACTTAATCTTCAAAGAGAAAACGCCAAACGGCGCCTTTAGAATTTAAAATCATAAACAGAGACGAGTTTCGGCAATTTGCCGAAACTCGTCCTTGGATCCTTCCGTGAGAATTGGGTTACTCACCCGTTCTCACAAGAAACGAAAAAACGGACCTTTAGTCCTTGAAATCGAACGTTTAAACTTGAATACCAATAACTGTGCCCCGACGCGGCGGAAGCTGTAATCTAACCCAAAATCTCTGTGGAAAACTTCCACAAGAAACCCTTTTTTCCTGAGGAAATGCTTCAGGATTTCAAGTCACTGTCTCTCGAACCATCGTACTGTGCGGAACATTCGAAAAGTACTGGCGAAATTATCAAAACTGTTGGAAAAAACTTGTGAATTGTGAATACAACTTCTTTAAAATAGGGTGTTCTCGAGCACCCCGGTTGTAGCCCAACCGAGTTCTGTGTTATATTTTCTTCAACTTTTATAAATATCTTCTCCCGCAACAAACCTTCGTGACATTCGGCATTGTAGAAGATGGTTCAGTAGACTTAAGAATTGATGAAATCTCTGCAGTTCTGCCCAAAATATTTGGTCGTCCACGATCAACGGCAGAAACGTGTAGGAATCACTTCTCTATTCTTATTGCTACGAAGCCTGCGGTATTATGCAGTACATTTTTTAGACAATCAATAATACAGCTCCTGCGAAAGTCACACCAATTCTGCAACTTCTCATTCTTATATTTTGAGGTTTCTTCGCATTGGATTCATTTTCATACCTAGGTTTTATACGACAAATGTAAATTTTTTTAGTTGGGTAATTTAAAAAATACAATTTTTTTAATTACCTCCGAGGGACCTGGAGAAAGATTCTTCAAAAGGAAAAATGAACTCAATTGAAACTGTCTTTTGCATATCGTCCGGCATTTCTTTCAAACAGCTCGTTGAAAACTTGATGAAGCTTTTTTAAAAATGAAGTAAGTTTCCCACATTCAAATTCATTTTTTACGAATACATATACCAAATTCAACGCATAAAAATACTGTACCGTGCTATGATATGAAGCCAATCCTTCTTCATATTCACGTAGAATTAGCATTTTTTATTACTACCAAAAAACCTCAAAATTGTTATGAAAGATGAAAATTAAAATGAGGCAGCACCTATCCATTCACTAAAAACGTCCTGCAAGAATGTATAATTCATTCAAATTTATCAAGCTACTTTCTAGGAACCCATTGGTTTCAGATACTGTAATATTTGTGTTTTTATGTTTTCCGGATACATCACGGACATATACACTTCGAAGTTGAATTCTTTATTAATGAGCACGCGTTAAACATACTGATGCAGCTAGGGAGCAGAATCTTATGAACATGGTACGTGAGACTTTTCGTGTACAGTATACCAGCTTACGTGTGCGTATGTACGACTATATTTACACTTGGTCATGGTAGTCGTACTCGTACCCTCGTACGATACGCACTGAAAATCCCTGTAGCAGCCTTGCAATTACAGGGAACACAACAAGAAGTCCATAAATGTTGATCATCTCAATTGGAATGCAGCCATG